GGGAAACATGATGGGTCCATGTTCATGTTGCCTGTTTCAATGCCAAAGCAGCTGTTCCTGGCTATTTTCCATGCCCGACCACAGAACTTGCGATGAAAAAAACATCTACCCTTTCATGTCTTCATTTTCAATCGATTGCACTTTCTCGTTGGTTGGGGACTCCATCGACTCGTCTCTCCGAAGAAGACGATAACAACAAGCACATTTCCGCCATGAACGTACCTCTGGTAATCCTTGCATGTCTAACTATTGCTGGGTCTTTTACCAGAGGAAGAACGCACAACCTTATCCACACCAAGCCACCAAATCTAGCCGCGGAAGCAATGGGAATAGCAGTAACAGCTCCGGCAATGATCCGCTCTTAGCTCTCCGCTGTGCCAACTGCGACACCACTTCTACACCACTTTGGAGGAAGGGGCCAAGAGGTCCAAAGGTAATACAAAAAACTTACAAATTATTCCAACAATTCTACATAAGTAGAACAAAAAACTTTATATATACTCGTTTTTGTCAAATTGCAGTCACTTTGCAATGGAATCCGATTCAAGAAAGAAGAAAGAAGAGCAAGCGCAGCAAATGGAAACAACAACTCGTCAATGGTGGAACAGCAACATTGTGGCTATTATCACCACAACAATTCATGGGTTCACCCCTCTTAACGAATTCAGGTTCATTGAAGATATTGATCGAGATTTGCTTTCTTGGTGACTGAACGTCACAGATAGGCCAACAAGCCTTGTCCAAGACTTTACAAGATAAAAGGGGGAAAATCAATGAATAAAGAAGAAGAAAAAAGAAACCTCTCTTCCCATTGACGGCCAATTTCATGCAATGAAACGTATCACGATGATGGCGACGCTTACATGATCTTCATTCTCGTTTGGTCCAGTCAAATTTCTTTTTATTTTTTTGCTTTCTTTTGTTTGTCTCCTTTGTCTGTGTTCAATAGGTGGAGTGAGAACGGGATGATTCTATGTTGTTAGTTGCTTTTGATTGTTTTCGCTTTCTTTTTCAACATGTTTAACTTTAGTTTCACTTTCAGTTTTATATTAAAACCTTTCCGTTTTGAGAGTTCAACTTTCACATATCCTCTTCTTCCGATGAATCTTTCGTGATTGTTCTGAGCCGGAGGACACTGTGTTTCAGGCGTTTGGCAATGCAACAATTTGTCGTATCAGGCCCTTTTGGGTACACTCGTATTCTTGAATCTTGACCGTCAAATTGGCCTCTAATGCACACCTTGGGTCATTCTGCAACATGCAAACCCTATTCCCCCCCCCCCACATTATTATTTTTTTGAACAAATTTCCAGTGCGACAACAAATACAGATCCCACAAATCTAGCCTTCTAGGAGGTAATAATCCCCCAAGCAAGACAAAGATTACAATTAACCACACTACTCTTAATCACTATTCTAGCACCTTTACTCTAACTATCTCTTTAATACAATTTACCACATTTTCAATATCTCTATTGATTCCCCTAAACTGTCTATGATTCCTCTCCTCCCATACACAGTAGATGTAAGCACACCAAGCAACTCTAAGAATAAACACAGGAAATATTTTCCTCTAAACCACGAAATAGCCCAGCTCAACTCCTCCTCCCAAGTCCCCACAGCTCTGTTAACATTGCACAGTTGTGCAATTTCCTCCCAAACAGCCTTCGAGAACTAGCATTCAAAGAAAATATGGCTACGAGTCTCAGGCGCAGCTTCACACAATCTGCATTTTTCATTCACCTCAATTCTCAAACGAGCAAGCCTATCAGCAGTTGGCAGCCTATCTAAAATAGCCATCCAAGCAATAAGCGAGTGTTTCCCATACACAGTAGATGTAAGCACACCAAGCAACTCTAAGAATAAACACAGGGAAATATTTTCCTCTAAACCGCGAAATAGCCCAGCTCAACTCCTCCTCCCAAGTCCCCACAGCTCTGTTAACATTGCACAGTTGTGCAATTTCCTCCCAAACAGCCTTCGAGAACTAGCATTCAAAGAAAATATGGCTACGAGTCTCAGGCGCAGCTTCACACAATCTGCATTTTTCATTCACCTCAATTCTCAAACGAGCAAGCCTATCAGCAGTTGGCAGCCTATCTAAAATAGCCATCCAAGCAATAAGCGAGTGTTTTGGTATGTGCATTGGAAACCAAATGACCTTATGCCAATCAACCTTCACACTTCTCCCCCTAATCTCCTTCCATATCCAACGAGCATTTACCTTGTCCTAGTTCATAGTACCTGAGAACAAAGGTTGCAAATCATCTTTGGCTTTCAGGATCTTCCGCATACTCCAGCTAAAAGAAGCCTTGCTTTCAATAGACCATAAGTCAGCCCCCTTAAGGACATATGATCTCACCCAAGCAACCCATAAAGATCCCTCAACAATAAGCAATTCCTTTACCAGTAGCATAATACATGATTTGTTCCAGCATTTTAAATGCTTAAGACCTAGCCCCCTTCAGACTTAGGAGTACAGATAAACTCCTAGCTCACACGAGCTCCCTTTGCTGGGACATCCCCCCTTCCAAAAGAACCTGACACAAAGTTGGTTCACCCTCCTTACAACAGCAGTAGGCAAAATAAGTTGTCTGCACCAGAAGTTGGCAATGCTGAACAAAACAACATTCACCAGTTGCAATCTACCTGTATTACTCAACCATCTGTTAGACCAAAGCTCCAACTTTGCTTTAACTTTCTCCACTAAACTAGCACAATCTTTCTCAGTTAACTTTCTCCATTATTTTACTTCACGTTGGCTTTATGATTTCTGTTTTGAATTTTATGTCAGATTATTATTGTTCTTATATTACTATCAATATTTGATGTAATAATCAAGTTTACAAAAGTCTAATATAGAGTTAATTCTCCTAATCTAGTTTATTTTATATGTAAACATTTAAACTTTAAACTAATTTGTTGTTGGATTATGGATATTATTACATGGGATGGGGGACTCTAATTACCAAAAAGAATGTTTGTCAAGGAGAAGTCAAATTTGAAAAGAGGTCAAATATGGAATTGATGGTCAATTGTAAAAGAGTTGGTTGGACCTTGAATGGAGCAAATAAACCCCACATTTCTAAATTTTTAGACAGACATTGTCTGTCCTCGATATCCACTATTATGCCCAGACATTATCTTGCATCTTTATATGTCCAATGTCTATTTTCTTACTTATTTATTCGCTCAATATCTACATATCAATTTAAAATGCTTATTAAATTTAGAGTAAATTACATATTTAGTATATTAATTATTGCTTTCGTTTCTTATTGATCACCCAATTACTTTTTGTTTCAAAATTATACATAACGTTATATTTTGATATTATTTTGGTGGTTCGTTGGTAAAAAAATTTATAGTAACATTGATGTGTCACCGTAAGATAATAGCGGACATCTTATAAATAAACAATACAATGTCCAATATACACTTCTAACACTAGACTATACCATAACCAAATAACTTATACAAAATTCCAATCTATACACGACTTACTATTAATAGAGTTAATCTTGCCAATGTTTTTACTCGTCATCCTCCACATCTTTTATCTGATAGACGAGCTTTGACACGGGAACTTGTTTTCCTTGAAAAATTCTCATGTTTTCTCCCTCTAGATAAGGTAGATGATCGAGTTCTACACAATTTTGAGAATGACAGTAAACAAAGACTTCCCTTTAAACTTGATAATGACCCATGCAACCTTTGAATTTCAATCCATAGCCCTCCACTGTAGACTGTAAGTACTCAACACTGCAGACCAAATCGTTTTAAAGTAGGAACAACTGAAGGCTCAACGTTACAAAGAACTAGCTCCCAACAATTTGGAGACGAAATGAACCATTCTATCTCTTGTAGGCAATCTATTCAGCATGGCCATCTAGAAGATTACAGAATGTCGACAAGTGTGCCAAATCAAATTGTGCCATGGCACTTTCTCATTTCTCATTCTATTAGTTGTTCATATCTTGATTGTGTTATTGCTTGGATCGGAAAGAATACCATTAAGAATAATCATTTTTAACTTCAACAACCGCTTTCAAATTCAGTTCCGACCAATCTTATTCTCGACATGCCAAAAGTCTATCCCTTCAATACATAGTCGTAGCATCAAGCCACCCAAAGAGAACCCTGCCTCATCAGAATGCTCTTAATACGTTACATCAAACAAGTTCCAAGTTATTAAATAATTTAAGACCAAGCCCATCTTCCTACCTAGGACAACAAATTGACCTCCAGTTCACTTTTTCTTTTTTTTTTCTTGATTATGTCTATTTAGTATGAAGATTTTCCCATTTGATTTTCAATAGTCTAGAGAGGATCTTAAGTCCACTCGTTTAAGGTATTAAACAATATATTTATAAAATTTTAGAAATAAATTTATAAAATGTTAATGAGATCAAAACGTATTATCAATAGAGAACAAAAAATATATTTAAATCATATTAAAATTTTCAAGGAGGTGCCGCCTTGTTAATTCTTCCCCGATCCATCCTAAATAAAGATAAATGGAGGTTTCAAATAAAAGTATGTTTCTTTCTAATTTTTTTTCATTTTTCTTTATTTCTTTTCTAATTTTCTACAGGGTAGTGGAAGAGGTGGAAGATATACCTTCGACGAGTGGTTTTTGATGACGTGACTCTACAATCTTTTTTATCAGTCTACGTTTGTTTTTGCAACTCCTTCTATTGCTATTTATGATGGTATGCTATGGTAAGGGACAAACATATGATTTTATGCTAGAGTGATAAACTTTAAAATTTTAAAAGAAGACGGATATATAAAAATTTAGGGGGTAAAAATATATTTTTAATAGAAAATACATAGAAAAATATAAAATATATGATAAATTCTCCTAACATCATGACTTTAATCTCATCGGTGAAGATCTCTTGGATGTTTCAATCATACTGTAGACACTAATTTTCATCTATATATAATATTATATATATATTATATATATTTTAATTAAAATAATACATGTTTCCTTTCTTCTTTTCAGGCCCAATACCATTACAAAACAGTCCCAAAACCCAAGGACTAGCCACAGCCCAGTAGAAGCCCGACCGAACTGATGGATTAGGGTTTTCAAAACCCTAGTTTCCCACCTATTCCAAGCGCCGCATCCCTTGTTGGAGTAGCCTCAACCACTCGGTCAAACCAATGGCAACCTCCATCCCCGGTTTTCTCGGCACACCAACATCGTGTACTCGTGGGACACCAACAACCAACAAACGAGGAGATTTAGTCTTATTAGGACTTTAAACCGAGCCTAAAAATAAGGTTATAAAGCACTATAAATAAATGAAGGAACACACACGAAACGGGGGAGAAATCATGCTAGCAGAGGAGTCCATTCGAACAAAAAAACAAACATCAAAAAAAGAAAATACAGAAACAAAACGAGAACCAGAAAAAAGGAAAGAAAGAAGAGAGGAGAAGAGCATACCTCGGTACACACTCATCAGAGTCAAAAGATCGCCGATTTTCAAAACTTTCGAGAGGTAAACTCTTAGATCTAGGGATTTAGGGGCTATTTTAGGTTAAAAGGTGTTCGGTTTTGGGTAGAGGGTAACGAGAGGAAGACTTTAGGGTAGTTTGTTGTCTCCGACCATCGTACGACGCCAAGAGTGACGCCATGGGCATCGCCGGCGGTGGTCGGCTCTCTCCTTTCCGATGAGAGAGTTGAGAGAGTTTTCTCACTCTCTCTCTAATTTTGCTGAAACAAAGACAAATGATAATTGAAAAAAATATGATTTTGGGGCTTATATGTACAAATCGAAGCGATGTCGTTTCGTTAGAGGGGGTCAGCGTGTTTTTGCAGTTGGGGTTAATATCAGTTTTAATCCTTCGCATTTTATAATCTCACCTGTCATTTTAATTGTGGTGGGTAAATCCCACTTCGGGTCCCTTTATTATTTGTAATATTTCATTTTAGCCATTGAATAATGCTTTGTTTTCTTTTTCGAGTACTGATGTTTTAATATTTTCAATTTGGTCTTGTTATTGTATAGTATGTTATTATCTTTAATTTTTGAATGTGGTTGCAATGTTTTCAATTATTCTATTTTGGTCACTAATTAAATATATTGTTTTTTATTTTTTTATTTTATTTTCCTATTTTGTTTTTATTTTTGTTTTTTCTTTAATTTTATTTATTTCCATTATTAAATATTATGTTATATATATTTTTTTTATTTTTTTATTTTTTTCTTTTAATTTTGTAGTGGTTTGATTATTTTAATAGGTGTAGTGGTTTAGGGTGTATTTGATTTAATTATTTTAATAGGTGTAGTGATTTAGGTTGAATTTGGGTTAATTTTATTTTTTTTAGTGAATTTCGTATCATTTTTTTCTTTTTTTTCCATTTTTTATTTCATTTTTTTCTTTTTTAAATTGTTTTAAATATTATTATTATTTTTTTTATTTTTAGTCTTTCTTTTTAATTAGATAATCTTTTTTTAGGTTTTTTCATGTTTTTTAAATTTAACTATTTTTTTTCTTTTCATTCATTTTTTATTTTTTAATTTCTTTTACTTTTACCTTTTATTTTTTATTAATTATTTTTTCATTTTTTTATTGTTATTATTATATTAATATTAATATTTTTTCTTTTTTCATATTTTTTATTTTTACAATATAACATTTTTGACTTTTTAGGGATGTTTTCAATCGATCAAAGGTAATTAATTCGAGTTGAATTTTTTAAATTTAAATTTTTGCAAGTAAAGACAACCGACAAATTAATTGGTACTGAAAGGGCAGTTCAAGGGTGCTAATACTTCCTTGACTATATCCGACTCCCGAACCGACACATTTATGGTAAAACGCGGATCAGGTAAGATTGTGCCCGATCCCCCTAAATGATTTTAATGTGATCAGTGGCAACTTTAAGCCCATTATTTCAAGTCGAAGCCCAATTACGGACCCAACTGAAAGACGGTTTCGACAGCTTGGTGACTCTGCTGGGGAAAGGTAAGTGAGTCAGGCCGAAATTAATTTACGGTTGTCCTTTTGAGCGAAAATTACAAGTTTAAATTTTAATTTATTTATTCGATTCTAATTATTTATCTTTGATTATCTTTCAAATAAATAGTTGTACTGACGTTTTTCTCAATGATTTCATATTTTCAAAATTTTCATCACCGACTCTATACCCGAGCTCCAAACCCTTTTAAGTGGGGGTGAAAGTGATACTTCGTGGGAATTTATTATCCGTATGGGCATAGCAAGTAACCTTCGAGATTCATATACCTTATGTCTTCGTGTGAATTTATTCTCTGTATAGGCATAAGAGAATGTATCCTCTCGAGTTTAACTTAGTCCACATGAGCTTGTAATGGGCTTAGGGCTAAGGGTCTGGCAAGCCCAAGGGGGCACAAGCAAGGAGAACTTGGGTACCTTCTTTAGAACCTAAATCGGGAGACTACAGGGAATTAGACCCCACCCCTAAACCTCATTTCAAACTCTAGGTTGCTTTAAGATTATTTCCTGCTTTATTTTCTATTCAAATCATGTGAACTAGAATTTAGGCGGTTAGGACTGGTTCTAAATTAAATATATAGGGTAGATATTATGTGGGTAGGACTTTTCATTTTCATTATTGTTTTGATTTACCTCACTAACTCTTTTCCATTTTTGTTCTCTTTTATTTTTATCATTACATCATTCAAAAGAGGTGTTGATCCACCAAAAATGTGTTCGTTAAACATAAATAATATGCATTAATGGGCAAAGGAGTTATAATAAAAGAGATAAAGAGCTTAGAGGTCCGACTATGGTCACAAAAGACTCATGTCAAGAAAATGTAGTGCCCACGATCGAATAGTACACCACTTTATTGTATTGTGAAGGACTCAGAATGGACTGGGATTTACACCGAGCTCATCGAAAGTTAACTTTTTTGGCAACAGTTGCAGGGGCAGACGAGAAAAAGGTTACTGACTTGGGGAGTCCCTTCAAAAATAACAATAACAAGATGGCAAGGCGATAGTTGAAACTGGAGGCCATTGTTGACGCATTCAAGAAACAAGCAGATGAACTTCGGATAGTTCCTATCAATAGAGGGCTCCAATGGTGTTTTCATTAGGGAACAGACTCAACAGATAGTGAAAACCAGAGATACAACCATTTGATACTCTTGGCACAAGTACAAAAAGCAGCTCAGAGAGGTCGGAACGGTTCGACAGGGTATTCAACCGGTGACAGAAGAAGGCGGAAGATAAATCAACTTATCAGAAGATGTTCAGGGTCTACCTTTAAAATGTTTTTGTCTCTTAAGTAATAACATTTTTTCCCCAATAAGGATTATTTATAATAACATACACATTTTTGGATCAATGCCTCAAACATTTCATGCATCATGCATCTTTCGCAATATTTTTATTTTCTTTTTTTCATTACATCCATAATAACTAACAAGAGAAACTCATAAAAAAGAAACAAATACTGGATATGCCGCTCAAAGAAAAGGTAATTAAAAGAGAAACTTTGAAAGCAAATTGAAGTTACTTGAAGCGTGTCTGTAAGAAGATCCAAAGAGATGAATGAGATACTAGCACGTGTCGGTAAGATTGAGAAAATACAAGAGCAACTCGTAAAAACCTAACGGGATATGATCGATGAAGCAAGAAGATTTCAGGATGAATCAAGAGAACAAATGGCTAAGTTAATGGACATGGTAAATGTTGTGATCCATGGAGAGAATCCACTAGTGGATCCCATTTTGGATTGAACTATGAATGTTGGTGCTGAAACTGAAAGGAAAGTGGCAAGGAAACCTGTTAAGGAGCCGGATATTTCAGGTCAGCTCCAAAAATCAAATATGGTTATAGAAGGTTCCACTAGGCCAACAATGAAGAAAGATCTAATGAGGGATAAATTTTCCATTGTGAGAGATAAACTTAACTCAAAGAAGAGGGTCATAGAAGGGGACCAAATGTTGACCAAGAAAGCTAAGAAGGATCAACTTTTTATGATTAGAGGTTCTAACCCTTTACAATCATCAAGTCAGAATACTCAGGTTCTATCTATAAAGTCATTGCCAAGTAGTCTATCGTCATGGGGACTAGATGAGAAGAAAAAGAAAGTACAGGGCTTTCAGTTCCCTCCCTTCCATTTTACACTTGAAAAAATACATTAAAAATGCTCACAATCGGATTGGTTACACCGGGATATGTTCAGCCACATTGGCCCCTAAATAAAAAAGTGGACCTATAAAGAGATTCATTGGATAAACCAGGATGAAACCCCAGTTTGTTCAGTTAAGGTTCCTAGCAACCCTTAGGGTCCTTTAGAACAAGCAATTCAGGGGTGCAAGGTAGAAGAGAAAGGGATCAAGGTTTAAAACTCGAAATTCATTGCTTCAGCAGAGAATTCCTACAAAAAACATAAGGTGCAAAAGGATGAAAAAGGAAATCTAAGCAGAAGGGCCTCTATGAATGCAATCCGAGACTGGCCCGTGGGTTTGAGAATGGATGGGGCAGATGCAGCTAAGAAGACACCTCAAACTGCTTCAACAAAGGACTCCTGCGAAAAACATAAGGCGCAAGAGGATAGGAAAGGAAATACAAGCAAAAGGGCTTCCGTGAACATAGTCTGAGACTGGCCGGTGGGTTTAAGAATCAGTAGGACAGACACAACTTTGAAAATGCCTCAAACACCTATATCAGACTTCCTAAAGGCAAGAGGGGTTTTGGGCAGCTTAGAAGGCCTGACGAATATTACGCCAGTCACAGCTGCAATATGTGTTTGGGATCCATCCAAACCCATCACCACCAAAGAAAATTGTTTTGGATCTAAATTTGGGCCCAATTTCCAACTTGGAAAGGAAAATATGATAAATCACAAGGAAGTAGGATTTTCCCGAGAAGCTGCTCAGAAGGAAGAAGGAATTTGTGCGTCTGAGGGTACATTAAAAGGAGCCCTGGCAAGTGAAATAGTTGAGAAATGTGGAGCAAGTACAGATGGAGGCCCTAATCCAACTAGTGGGGCATCCTAATGAGGCCTTATTCCATTTTGCAACATCCCATTTGATTTTGTTTTTCGAACTTTCTAATATTCTTTTCTTTGTAATTTGTTTTTTAAGCTTTCTTTTTATAAGGATATTTAAATGAATTTATGTTGAATATTGAACCAAATTTACAACTTGAAATTCTTTGAATATCAACTGAATCAAAAACTCTATAAATGATCGGAGTTACAGATCTTTGACATTGTGACATGATTAAAACATAATGACCTTTGATTTTACCCCAGAATGAACACTCGAACGCCATACCCTTCTCTTTTAAGAACCGATATAGCATTCTCCTTTCATAAGGGAATGAACAAGGGCTTGGTATTAGGTATGCATAAGAGTGGACAACATGGGACATCTCTTGTGTATGACATTACTATACTTTTGTTGAAGACATTCAATGATAATTATGATCTTTAAGGATGAAATAGTCGAGTATGTGAATCTAGTTTAGGTCAGTGACTGGGAAATTGAACTCTAAAGATGAGATTCCTTGACTTCCAACAACACCTAGACTATAGCAGGTTCTTCTTGACAAACTTAAGAAATTAGATCCGATACCCAGATTATAATATTATATATATACAATAAAGCTTGAGATGTCCCTCTAAATCAATTAGTTAAACACCCCGGCTTTATGGATAAGATTCAGCTAACCTGATAAAGGTGATTATAATATCTATACAATAAAGCTTGAGCTGT